AATGTCATGAGCATTCCAGGCTGCACAAAGTTTCCCCTTGATTTCTCTAACGCTTTGACTTCTATAATTGGCAGCTCTAAAATGCTGTATATTTTTTCTGAAATACCTCAATCAGAAAATATACCGCATTTGGCCACTAGATAGAGCTGACGATCATAGGAAGTCAGAGCGTTAGAGAAAACTCTGGGTAAATTTGTGTAGCCTGGATGAACGCTTGTGACATTTGTGCCACAAATGTTTTATCTTTGATGAAATGAGACTTGTGAACGCCTTCTGCTTTAAGAAAACTATTCGCCAATTTGATTGGAGGGCATTTTGTTTGTTTTAATCTCTTCTCACCAAAACTGGTATGACGATACTGTCTAGTAAATGTTAACTATTGAAATGTACAGTTGCAAGAAAAAGTATGTGAACCCCTTGCGATTACGTGCAGTTTTGCATGAATTGGGCATAAAATGTACTCTGAACGTCATCTAAGTCACAACAATAGAAGAACACAGTCTGCTGAACATAATACTACATAAACATTAGATATTGCCATGGTTTAATTGCACATAACATGTTAACATTCACAGTGCAGGGAGGAAAAAGTATGTGAACCTTTGGACTTAATAACTGGTTGACCCTCCTTTGGCAGCAATAACCTCAACCAAACATTTCCTGTAGTTGCAGATCAGACCTGCACAACGATCTGGAGTAATTTTGGACCACTCTTCTTCACAAAACTGTTTCAGTGTAGCAATATTCTTGGGATGTTTGGTGTGAATCGCTCTCTTAAGGTCATGCCACAGCATTTCAATCGGGTTGAGGTCAGGACTCTGACTGGGCCACTCCAAAGGCGTTTCTGTGCTGTTGCAGCCATTGTTTTGTTGAATTACTTGTATGCTTTGGGTCATTGTCCTGTTGCATCACCCATCCTCTGCGGAGCTTCAGTTGGCGGACAGATGGTCGTACGTTTTCCTGCAAAATATCTTGATAAACTCTGGAATTCATTTTCCCATCAATACAACAATCCGTCCAGGCCCTGAGGCAGCGAAGCAGCCCGAAACCATGATGCTCCCTCTGCCATGTTTTTACAGTGAGGATGAGGTTTTGATGTTGGTGTGCTGTGCCTTTTTTTCTCCACACATAGTGTTGTGTGTTCTTCCCAAACAACTCAATCTTGGTTTCATCTGTCCACAGTATATTTTGCCAGTAGTGCTGTGGAACATCCAGGTGTTCTTTTGCAAACTTCAAACATGCTGCAATATTCTTTTTGGACAGCAATGGCTTCCTCCCTGGTGTCCTCCCATGTACTCCATTCTTGTTTAATGTTTTCCTTATTGTAGATGTGTCAACAAAAATGTTAGCATGTGCCAGAGATTTCTGTAGGTCTTTAGCTGACACTCTGGGATTCTTCTTTACCTCATGCAGCATTCTGCGCTGTGCTCTTAAATCATTTTTACAGGCAACCATGCCTAGAGAGTAGAAACAGTGCTAAACTTTCTCCATTTGTAGACAGTCTGTCTTACCGTGGACACATGAACATCAAGGCTTTTGGAGATACTTTTGTAACCTTTTCCAGCTTCATGCAAGTCAACAATTCTTGATCGTAGGTCTTCTGAGAGCTCTTTTCTGCGAGGCATGGTTCACATCAGACAGAGCTTCTAGTAAACCCAAAACAGGTGTGTGTTTTTTAAGGGCAGGACAGCTGTCAGCAACACATCCCAATATCATCACACTGATTGGAGTCAAGGTTGGCTCACTCCTGGCTCCAATTAGCTCTGGGAGAAGTCATTAAGCTAGGGGCTCACATACTTTTTCCTCCCTGCACTGTGAATGTTTACATGTTATGTGCAATTAAACCATGGCAACATCTAATGTTTGTGTAGTATTATTTCAGCAGACTGTGTTCTTCTATTGTGGTGACTTAGATGACGTTCAGAGCACATTTTATGCCCAATTCATGCAAAACTCCACGTAATCCCAAGGGGTTCACTATTTTTCTTGCAATGTACTCATTGTTGCTGCCCATCACAGACAGGGAATAACATGTCTACACATGTCATATCTGGATAAAAAGTGACTAATACTCTTACTCATACACCATCTGTTTAGGTCATTTGTTATTTGTGTGGGGTTTAATCTAAACATTTATTTTGGGATTGTATACTGAGTTTTCCAAATATTTATTAAAAATAGTCACGGGAGACAAATAATTTGTTTCTGTTTTGCAATGCATGATAGTAGAAAATGGTTGTGGTTTACTTTATTTCCTGTTTTTGAGTTTCGAAAAAAAAGTGGTAATCCAAAAAGTGCAAAGTAAAAAACTAATATGTTAAAATATGTACAATATTAAATATAATAAATATTATACTAAATAAAATAGTAATATAAAATAATAAAGTGCTAAGAAAAGCCCTGTTTTTGAGTTTATAAAAAAAATGTTAATCCAAAAAGTGTTACGTAATTTACAGTGCTAAGATCAGAGCTTTTTTTCAGTGGGAACGCAGTTCCGTCACCTCCAGCACTGAATGTATCTAATGGCAAAGGGTGCTGGGGTGTGCTGGAGAGGTGCTGGGGTGTGCTGGAGAGTCTATTGATGCTGGCTGCTGGGGTCTATTGCCACGGGAGGTATCTATTTTTGTGTGGGGGGGTGGGGGTTGCTATTTGTTGCTGGGGGGTATCTATTGTTGCTGGGGGGTTAACTGTTGCTGGGAGGGATCTCTACTGTGGAGAGTGGGGTCTATTGATGCTGGCTGCAGGGAGATCAGTTGCTGCTGCCATAGGTCTATTGCTGCTGGGGGGGTATTTTGTTACAGGTGGTCCATCGTTGATGGGGAGTCCACTGTTGCTGGGGGGGGTCTATTGTTGTGGGTAGATCTATTGTTGCTGGGGTGTATTTGACTGCTTTTCTTGTTATCATTAAGCTTGAGGTGATTGTAGCCGTATTAGTGCATTTGCGACAGAAACAATTTAGTACTGTCCGTGATACTTTTTTTATTTGCACTAACATACAATTTTGAGGACAAACATTCGGGGAATGTCCCCTACTTCAGGTCTAAGCAGTACTGCTTGGACCTTGAAGAAGGGGACACTCCCTGAAAGTTTGTCCTCAGAAATTGTATGTTAGTGCAAATAAAAAAGTATCACGGACAGTACTAAATTGTTTCTGTTGTTATCATTAACAAATTCCATACCAAATTAATAATATATTCTCTGAAAGGGGCACTACTGGGAGGTGGGTAGGGGTGAAACCCAGGAAAGGTTTTAGAAGTGGGTAGGGGGCAGAGACAAGGGTTGACTCAGATAACATGAGTTCCTGCACCTATTATCTGAGAAAAAAAGCCCTGGCTAACATCCACTTAAAGCCAAGCTATAAATGTTAGCAAGAGCTGCCAGCTGCATGGAAATGAACTCCTCCGCCTTCTATAGTGCCATGCAAGCCCCGAAACCAAGGGTACTCTGTTGTACAAATAACGGTACCCACCCCCTAAAGTGTTGCATTTCACTATTGGTCAGTGAGGCAACTCATCAGAGTGATGGACCATTAGAAAGGATTCAAAAGCAGGAACAGTGAATCATGTACCTGACCCCTTTAGATGGGTAATATTTGAATAATATAAGTTTGAAGGATCTTCAGACTCTCAAGAAGAAAGTGGAGCATCTAGAGATGCCTGCTACATGGAGGTGTCAGTTTACTAGGTATATGGTGACTACAGGCCCACTTTAAATGTCCACCAATATTATTTTTTTAAATGATCGTTTTAAACGGAGTTCGTTTCATTCAATTTGAGTAAAGAAACTACTCCTGCAATGATACACCCCTTTTACCTTCCATAGACTTATGCATATTTAGGCCAAAAAGTCCTTATTGGGTTAGGCCTCACAATTTTTTCAGCAGATCTTGTCTGAGTCGATTGCAATAGAGAATAGATGGAAAAGCATAAATTTGGGACACATACTCACACAAACCTACAGTGCCTCCCAAAAAAGGCTCCGTCATACCTCCAATATACCAGTACTGAAATCTGAATTTTGGAATTGTTCACGTAGTTCTTTCCATGCTTTTGACATCTTATTCCAAGAAGATCCTTTTATGTAATACCCTCAGGCTCTCCACATGTTATAGCCTCCTGGTTCCATCAGAACTAGAACTATGATTTAGATCTCACTGCAAATCTAATACATTTAAGATTACATCATATGAGGCAATTTATGAAGCCACTTTATGGGTCTCGACAAAAGCAGGAGCATAGGAGAAAGGACAGCAGTGGACACTTTTGGCCGGGCCCTAGGTCCAAGGAGGTTGAAGTCTGTACCCGTAACACTCAAAATAAAGAAGACAGAAAGATTTTGCAACAACATTCTGAGATGCTGACAACTGGCACAAAGGTCAGGGACTCTTCCCCAGACATCCTGTGCTCTTGGTTGTGTGATCAGATGTCACATAACAAAACATAAGGGGACATGAGGAAGTGTCTCAGGAATTGTCATCAGCATCTGTACTGTAAACCTTTTTGTGTTACAACACCTCTTAGCTTCCAATACTCTGCTATATTGTGAATGTTAAGCACTTCAACTCCGGACACATTTACCCCCTTCCTGTCCAGCCCAATTTTCAGCTTTCAGCCTTGTCACACTTTGAATGATAATTGTGCGGTCATGCAACACTGTACCCATATGAATTGTTTTAGCATTTTTTGAGACAGATAAAACTTTATTTTGGACTATTTATTCACCACTGGGATTTTTATTTTGTTTTTGCTATATAAATAAAAAAGTCCAAAACTTTTTTAAAAAAGGTGTTTTTCTTATAAAATTTTGCAAATAAATAATCTTTCTTCATAAATCTTGGCAAAAATGTATTCAGCTATCTTTTAGAAAAAAAATAACCCAAATTAGTTTATAACCAAAAATTATAATTTTTCAACATTTTTTTTTACATTTTTATTTTATTTTTTATATTATTATTTTTTTTAGCATACTATCACCCTAGCAGTACAGTGTCACCATACACTTTTTTTTACACTGCTTTTACACCCACAAAGGCTGTAAAAGCAATCATTTCTCCTTCTCTTTGACTGCATTCTTGCAGCCATTGAGAAATACTGTGAGAGCTGTGATTGGTCACAGTTTGTAACATGGTACAAGGCTGTTGTGAATAGCCTTGTATCATGTGACCTCTGTGATCATTCACAGATTTCACATGTAGTAAGCAATGATGTCAGAAGTGACATCTTGCTTACTACTATTCATGTGATGCAGTGATCACATGATCAGGACCTCACACAGAGGTCCCATACAGTGATCAGTGTTCCACTGTGTCCTCCTGACACAGCAGGCACCGAATCGCGGTGCCGCTCACTCCCAGGGAGCACGCACAGGTTGAAAATGCGGGCGCTGTTTATGAATGGCAACCCGTTCCTGCACTGTTCCTGCCGGTCCTGCCGACCGTTTATATACATGGACCGGATGGGAAGTGGTTAATAAAGGGGCACTGTAGGGAAGGGTGGGAACTGATACTGGTTCTCTTCCAACCATTGCTATTATGCAGTCAGACTCAAAATTCTTACAAGGTAATTGTCAGATAGACTTTGATTGGACCACTGTGGGAACAGGAGATCCTTCCTAAAGTCTTCCTATTTTCCTCATCATCATACATAGGCAGTGCAGGGGTGGACTGACCATTTGGAAACTCAGGCACTGCCTGAGGGCCCGGGGTTAGTAGGGAGCCCCATGAGATGCCCTGGTACCTTTTTCATAGGCTTTTTTTGAGTTTGGGCAAGGACACAGGGGCCCCATGATCCCCTATTGCCCGGGGCCCCATGAGTTGTCAGTCCACCCCTGAGGCAGTGTGATACAGAACACTTCTGTTTGTTTGCAATGAGCAGTGCATGTTAGTTGTGGTCACCTGCACTACTCCATGCACATTACACATCCCATAGTTCATAATCCCTAGTCCATCTCGGGAACAAGCAATAGAGGGTGACTACATTACTACATACAGCGGACCAACGTAGCCACCCTCTATCAGGAAGTCAGATCACGGCAGCAAAAAGAAAAAAAAAAGAGGCGATAGGAAGTACCTTTCTGAGCTAAGAATACATACTTGAATAAAATTTTCTTTTTTTAAAGCAGAGTTTATTGTTACTTTAAACCATTTGAAAATATAATTTCTATATTGTAAAGTTAAACACGTTCTATGTAAGGTTTCTGGAGAAAAAAAAAATCATTGACTCCAAGTCAGCCAGGCTTACCAAGAAGATAGCTTTAGCTAACATTTCAATATATACCTGAAACTAATCCCGCCACTGCTGCTTTCATGGGGTACAATCTCTGGCTTTGCAAAGTTATGTTTCAGTTGGAAGAATTTAATGAAATCCCCTTGCTTTTCCTTGCTTCCCTGCTCCCGAGAGATATCTCAACCCACTCTACGAATACACTTGCTTTATTTTTTTTCCCCCCTCATACTCAATTATTTTTAGCAAATATAATCCAACCCAATTTTTTTCACATCACACATCTTTAAATCATGCCCTTTTTACCAAAGGCTAATTCTCCCGCTAATGAAACCTGCAGATTATAACACAGGACTGTTGGAACTCTCAGCAACAATTAAGAATTTAATTAAAATACAATAAGATAGTTATTGCAGGGTAATTAAGATGTAATAATTGATAAATGTCCTATTAGCATTAAATAATTACAAATAGAACAGATAACATAAAAGTTAGGAAGAGAAAAATCATCTCTCTTATTTTCTACAGTAAAACCATTTAAAAACGAAGCAAGAGTAATAGATTCCCAAGAAGGTTGCTTAATGCCCTTCAATTACTTTTATGTGTGTGTGTATTCTAAATAAGTGGAATTTGCCGCTAAGCTCGGCAAATCACAGCAAGGACAGTTGCTTATCCCCACTTGGACCCTATTAACCTTGGTGTTCTATACTGTAGGGTCCTATCGGGTTGTTTTGATCCTTTAAGTTTTGGATTATTGTCTTTATAAAATGTAACAGTAAAGATCCTTCAAAGGGTAAAGGTGACAGCTGTCAGAAACATACCATTTTCCCAGAACCCTTTGTAGTATAAACCCTCTCTTCTGTATAAAATTGAAATAGCTGCAGCAAAAAGAGGCTTTTTATTGTGTTATCATTTTATTTAAAATGCAGTTAACAAGTGAAATTGGAAATTGAATTGTTAATGTGGAATTGTCGCTAAAAACACATTACACATTAATAAACAGAGTTAACAAATCATGTTGTCATTTTAAAATGTAAAAAAATCCTCTTTTCAGCTAGGAATAAAAAAAAATATTTTCTGAGCTCTATTATGATACCTACAACCAGGGCTGCTGACAGAAGCCACAGGGCCCCAAACAGCAAACCTGACCCCGCCCCCCCCCCCCCCCCCCCCCAAAAAAAAACAGTTTTCTAGGCTTCACTTATGAACGAACACAGTGAGTGATCAGTACCGATCACTCATTGTGTTCATTCCAGAAAAGAAGGGGCAATTATTGGAACCGATCCCCTGTATGGCTGTCACATACCTGATAGAAGTCTGAATTGATGAGGTCAGCCTGTCTTGTATCTCCAACCCAGGACCCACTGAAGGTGGAACAGATGGTGCAGAGGGACAGGAGAAACATGAGCGCCTGCGGATATTGATTGCAGAACTTGCGGCTGGAGCGGTAACCTCAGTAAATCAGGCAAGGCATCCAGTCAGTAACAGAGGAGATGCCAGAACAGCCAACTGAGGTTAAGGAAGCACTCCACTGGCACTGCAAGATCTGGGTACGTGGCTTGCCGGAACGTCTGATAAGCGTGAGGCTTGAACACACTGTGACAACCGGAGCTGATATAAGGGATAACCAGGACAAGCACTCGGCAGGGCTGTAGAGCCAAACTGGAGCCGGAAGCATAGTTAGAGTAATAGCCAGGGTCAGCAACGAGCAGGTGATGAGGTACCGGAACACCAGACAGGGACGAGGTCAGGAGGAAGCCAGGATCAGAAACCAATAAACAGAATCCAAGAGCAGGTCAATGGCAAGCCGGGTCAGTAATGGATACACACAGGATACAGCGGGACACAGGGAATTAGGTGAAGACCAGTCAGCACTGACAGAGAGTAAGAGCCTCCTTTAAATTGTCCATCTGGCGCCAGAAACTGTTGGCACGCCCCAGCATGCGTGTACCCCTGTACGCACATTCTTGCGCGCATGCGCGAGCCTATGCTTATTTTTATTAGATATGTGCCTGTGCTCATTTCTATGCGCGATGTTGCGCGCGTTTGCATTTCTATGCGCCAGTCGCCGTACAGGAATTTCCTTACAATGGCTCTCTCTACAGCAGCTGAAAGCCATCGGGAGGAAGAGAAGAAGCCAGCTTTCAGCTGCAGCAGAGAGAGTCATACAGGAGATAGGTTCCAGTAACTGTCCCCCACACTGTACTGATCACCTTCCCTGCCCGCTTCCGATTCACATAACTACCTGAGCCCCCCTGCTGGCCTGGGCCCCATACAGGAGGACTGGTGGTACCGGCTTATCCATGGCCCTGCCTACAACTAGTGATCATGTTCGGCCCAAAGTACCTACAGGAACCTGTTACTTGAGACATTAGCCAGCATCACTGTCCCTTTGTTAGTTGCAGTTGATGGGCAAGGAATTTCATGGCCATAGCCATTTGGGCTTGTGGCCTGCTATCATGTGACAGTTTATCATGGGTTTCTGCTGAACTGGGTGCGATGAGAACCTTAGCTCATCACTACTACTCAGGGAAAGATTTTCTAAAGCCCAGTTCCTGCTTTCCTGGATACCCCTGAGACCTTTTTTTTTTTATTTCTATGCTTCAGCTATGAATGAACACAGTGAGTGATTGCAAATTTTGCTAATTTGTTAAAGCTTTCCATTTTCTGATGTCTTCAGACATGTTATGTGACATGCATGATCCTCTTCTTTTGCCTCTTCTCCAGGAAGCAGTGTGATGATGTCAGCCCTATTTTCTGCATTGCTATGCAGTGAGTGTGGGGCACAGGGGTGACACCCCCTAGAAGAGTTGGCTCCATGATGACATGCATTGCCAGAATAGAATGCCCTGCAGCACCCGAACAGAAAAGAGTATTGCAGCCAGAGCAGTTTTTTCCTTTTTAACAATGGTTGTGTATTTACAAAAATATAAGCTGTAGTTGGGCTTTAAGGTGCCCATAGACACTAACCACTAACTTCAAGTCACATTCAGCATCTGGGAGGTGATGCACCATAGTCCCAAATGAGTATGCTCAGGGCTGCTGTTAGAAATCACAGGGCCCCATACAGCCAACCTGACAGCCCCCCCCCCAAAAAAAAAAACACAGTTTACTATGCTTCAGTTATGAATGAACAGAGCGAGTGATTGGTACTGATCACTCATTGTATTCATTCAGGAAAGGAAGGGGCTGAAAATGTGACATATTTACTGAACCCTTTCGCCACTCTCCATCCTGAAGGATCCTATTGTGTGCTTGCAGCTGCTGGTGGGAAGGAAGATAGGATAGCTGGCAGCACTGCGGGAGTAGGGGCACATAGGGGGTCTGAGCAGCATGGAAAAACGTATGGTGCACAGGGAGGGTGATCGGCACGGTAGGGGTGCAATTACTGGAATCCTGACACCTTGGAACACTGACAGTCTGCAGGACACCTGCATGGCACCAGCAATCAATAAATGCTTTACAGGCTCCTAACACAAAAAAATAATAATTTACCTGCAAAAAAAATGTGTGCATTTATTATTTTTTGTGGAAAGATGAACCACGCTCGTGTTCTCTCAAGTATAAAGATATAAAATGTATAAACAGTGCCGCACAGTACTCAAAATAAAATAACTGTGTGTTAATATTCAATTATATCTCTCTACCATACATACATGACAATACAGAAAATGCGCACTTCCCTTAAATAATATGCAAAAATAAATGAACAAGGAACAAGGCTAAAAAAAACTCCCTGCATTTAATTTGCTTGTATCTATAAATGAAAAACCAAAAAATGTGCATAAAACTCTCCCAATATAATATCTCTTATCAGCAAAGTCCACAATATCTGCGTATGTTGGGTCAAATTAAAAGTCACGTGGTCTGACGCAATGCGTTAGGTGAGCCGGTGATGCTACGCCAGAAGAATAAGTGTGGCCATCTTGTTGGAGTTTTTCCCCGTTGATATGCTGTATACTGCAGTGCACCAGTTTTAGTACACTTTTTTAAGATAAGTACGTTGCATCAAAATAAAAAATAAAATATATCTAGCGGAGAGCATTATATATTCTCCCTTTTTTGAGTTTTATAACACTCTGAATTGTATCATCATGGAGGATAGAAATTGAGTGTGGAGCTTTTTAATACTGGAGTGAGGAAGAGTGCTGCTGTGGCTTATGAGACCCCA